CAGGCTAAAATTGCATTTTGGAAAAAGGCGCAGGATGCTTTGAATAAGGATGAGCACGCCTTCGGACAAATATTCTTTCGGAACAACTTGACCAAAGAAGAACGGGACCATGAAAAGCGGTTGGGCTACACCAAATATTACCTCCAGAAGCATTCTGAATATACCCACCGAAATATTAAGATCATATGGAGTAAGAAGATGGTTGTGTTGAGGGACAGCTCGGGGAAGGAGAGGAAGGTTGCATGGTATGACGGGGAGGGGGAGTGGCATACCACCAAGGCGGGAAAGGCAGTGGAGAAGGAGGTGGAGGAGGACATGCAGAAGTGGAGGAAAAAGGTCCGCCCGGAGCCGACCACCGACAGCGAGTGACGCTACGGCGAGACCGGCAGGACTACCAGGGGGAGCACGGCCACATCTACGGAGAAAGGGCGACGGCATGCGACGGGCATGGGTTCGCAAATACTTGTTTCACCACTTATCGTTTCACCTCGTGCACTTCTCACGGATTGTTCTCCGATGCATTTCTCTACAACTACGGTCGATGATAGCACTAATGAGACTGGAATACCCCAGCCAACAACGTACCCACCCACCCAGTCAGCAAATCGAGCGGGAAATGGGGGGGGTGTATCAATGTTTTGTGGTGGTGGGAGGGGCAAGTACAGGACAGTAGATGGTGACTTTCTTGGCAGATTTTTCAATACCAGCCCTCTTCAGGATCCGCCTTCAGGACCTGCCGAGCCCGACCATGCGACACAACCACCGGCGCCTTGTGCTGATTATCGGCCTCTTGTGGTGCTCCACAAGAACATCCGAGGCCTCACTTGCGATGACAGGTTCTCAGAATTACTATTGGAATTGGCTACATGCGAATGGGATGCAATACTTATCAATGAAACGATGCGTCCAGCAAACAACGAGATGTTTACAGTGGAGGGTGGACATATGTATGCTGGGTCCGGTGGGGGATCATACAAACATGGCGTTGGGGTACTCTTGCATGCGCGGTGGGTTCATTGTTTCAAACAGTTTGTGCCGGTCAGCAGTCGTATTGCATACATGGACATACGAGGCAACATGTTACGGATGCGATTTGTGACGGCATACTTCCCACATCGCAAATATCCAGATCGTACTGTGCAGGAAGTCTACGACGAATTGTCCAATATTGTGAAAGCAGGGGCACGGGAAAAACTGCATATCGTCATGGGCGCGGACTGCAATGCCCAAGTCGGGCCGGCAAGCGACACGGACAATCGACGAGTGTGTGGAAAGCATGCTCATGGCGACGGCGATGCACGAGGGCAGTGGCTTAAACAATGGGCAAACGCACACAATCTAGTGATTGCGAACACGATGTTTACCAAACAACCTCATTTGTTGCCGACGTATTTCCACAGCTCGCGGCATGGGCCTCGACAGATCGATTACATTCTCACGTCAAGGCTTTTCTGGTACACTGTGACAGACTGTGTTGCTTCTTCAACGATTAACATGGGATCCGACCATACCGACGTGCTCATGCGAAGTAGTATTCTCAAACAAAGGCCGGGTACGAACAAGAAGGCGCAGAGCAAAAAGACATCGACCAAATGCAGGGTTACGACAAATCCGTGGCCACCTGCGGACACGAAGCGGTATACACAGAAAGTGGCGGATGCACTTGCGGTTGCAGAGGATCAGGGTGGGATCCAAGACAGATACGATTCCATCGAAAAATCAATCACGGAATCTATGGCGGAGCCGGGGGTACATGAGCGGAGAGATACGGTAAACTCTACGTTGCCCCAGTTCCGGAGCAAGCTGGACGACCTCATCCAACAGCGCAAACAACTTGGAAATACAGACACGGCTATGCGACAACAACTCAGCAAACAAATCCGGCGAGAGATACGCAATTGTGGCAGGACGGACCGACACAACAGGATTACGACCATTCTTGCAGACTTTAGGGGGCTAAACAGAATCAGCGGGATCAAGAGCACCAAAAAGAAGGACATGATTATATCGATGCAGTCAGCTCCTGGAGGGCATGTCCACGACAGACGGGGAATAGCCGATGTGTTTGCAGACTTCTACGAATCTCTATATTCAATGCCCAGAGGATCAGGCCCCGATTCTCCCGCACACGGCGCAGAGGAACGTGGGAGCATTGCACCCTTCAGTGACGACGAGATGCGGCAGGGACTTCGGCAACTCAAGACCGGCAAAGCTGCAGACACAAGCGGAATAGCAGCTGAAATGCTGAAGTACGGAGGAGAAGCTCTCAGGAATGCGTTGCGGAAGCTTTTCAACGACATTGTCTTGGACGGTACGGTGACACCGAAGCAGTGGAAACACACCCAAATCAAGGTGATTTTCAAATCTGGAGAGCCAGCCCTACCGCAGAACTACCGTCCTATTTCGATGATCCCGCTCATGTACAAGCTATTCTCGCGATTGCTGTACAACCGACTGGAACCGATATTAGATTCGAAGCAGAAGCCGGAGCAAGCTGGATTCCGGCGAAATTTCAGCACGGATGACCATTTGTTCACATTCGCGATCGTACAGGAGAAGGCGCGAGAGTTCCAACTCCCACTGTGGGTTGCTACGTTGGACTTCAAGAAAGCATTCGACACGGTCTCACATGAATCACTTTGGGAAGCTATGCGAGCACACGGAGTTCCGCAATCATACATCAGCCTCATTATGTGCTTGTACACGGACCAGACGGCTTGTGTCAAGACAGACGTATGCAGCAAAACATTTACCATTAGTCGTGGGACCAAGCAAGGCGACCCATTAAGCTCATTACTATTCAACTGCCTCTCAGAATTCGTCTTCGACAAGTTCCGCACAAAATGGGCCGACAGGAAATATGGTATACAGTTGGGAACGCACAGAAATGATTGGCTTACAAATCTTCGATTTGCGGATGACGTTCTCTTGGTCGCCACTTCCCTTAGGCAGATTAAGAGTATGATTCGGGATGTCATGGACGCTGCGCAACCATGTGGCTTGGAGATACACCCCGGGAAGACCAAGATCCTGCATAACATGCAAGAGAGGAGGCCGCGAAGCAACCCAGAACAGACAGTCGTCAACGGAAGCTACATCGAAATATTGCCGTACTCTGCAACGCAAAAATATCTAGGACGGCAAATTACATTCCGTGATCCGACAACGACGGAGATCGAATCCAGAATCAATGCGGCATGGAAGAAATTCGGCTTGTTCAAGCACGAGCTCACCACACGGTCGTACTCATTGGGGGATCGTCTGCGGCTCTTCAACGGCGTTGTATCACCTACACTTCTTTATGGCGCGGGTTCTTGGGCAATGACGACTCCGCTGGAAACGCGAGTGCGGGCCACCCAACGCTGCATGCTCAGAATGATTCTCGGATCACAACGTCGCCGCGTTCAAGAGAACGGCACGGAAGCGAGCGACAATAACCAGTCTGACGGCCCGAACGACACGTCGGATTCGGAAAGCAGCACCACCGACAGCAACGACACCAGCACCTCAACTACACCGAGTTCGCATGCCCAAAACAATGTGGAACCATGGCAGGAATGGATCCGACGCACGACAAGGCATATTGTACAGTACTACCACGACTTGGGATATGAAGACTGGTGCGTGCAACAACGGAGACGACAATGGCGACTACTTATGGCAGTTCTTACAGATGACAAGGGGAAATGGAACAGAAAAGCTTTACTATGGGAGCCGACCGCGACGAATGCACGCGCAAAGAGGCTACCACATCGACCCAAAAAACGGTGGGTTGACGATCTGACAGAATACTTTCTTACAGCGCATGGACAGCATTGGCTACATTTTGGAGGAAGTATGGATGAATTGGAGGATGATTACGTTTATCACACAACATCAACAATATCCCCGGTGACTGAATGAGCGGCGCCCCGGCGCCACCTCCCAGCCCCCCGCGCGGCCGCCCTTTTGGGCGAACTGGGAGTCGCCTCGCCTCGCCTCGCCTCCGAGTCTCTTAGTAAGCGTTAGGGGGGCGTCACCCCCGCCGACAGCCCCACGTCGAACCCCTGTCGCGGGCAGCCACCGCGCGCCGAAGGCGCTCCGACCCCCGTCGCGGCGCGACGACGAGGAGGCGAGGTTGACCCCCGTCGGGGGGGTACCCCCCCACGCTTTTTCACCCAGCGTATGTTTTGACTCTTCCTCGATATTCTTCCTGCAGAGGGGCATGCCCGACTTAAAAAGCCTTGGCGACGAGGAGCCTCCCAGAGGCCCTCGGGGAGGGCCGCCGTGGCCTCGGCGGGCCCCCGCCCTCGACCTCTCGGCCCCCTCGGCCGCGGGCGCAGAATGGTGCGCGCAGACTGCCTGGCGCTGGGGGGCGGCGGCCCTGGCCTGGCGCTTCCCGCTCGGGGCGGCCCTGCCGCCGACGAGCTGCTGCCCGCCGCCAGTGGCCAGCTCCTGCCCGAGGCCAGCTGCTCCCCCTCCTGCCCCTCCTCCTCTTCCTCCCCTCCTCTTCCTCCTCCCTCCTCCTCCTCCTCCTCCGCCTCCTCCTCCCTCCTCCTCCTCATCCTCCTCCTCCCTTTCCTCTCCTCTCCTCCCTCCTCCTCTCCTCCTCCCTCCTCTCTCCTCCTCCTCCTCCTCCTCCTCCCTCCCCCCTCCTCCCCTGCCCCTCGTCCTCCTCCTCCTCCTCCTCCTCCTCTCCTCCTCCTCGGCCTCCTCCTCCTCGTCCTCTCTCCTCCTCCTCCTCCTCCTCCTCCCCTCCTCCTCCTCCTCCTCCTCCTCCTCCCTCCTCCTCCTTCCTCCTCCTCCTTCTCCTCCTCCTCCTTGTCCGTAGCCATTTTGGCTCAAGGTTTTGGTTTCCCCTGGGAACAAAGTGGATACCGCTAGTCCGCGGCCAGCTTTCATCTTTCGCCTGGTTCGCCCCAGGCAGAGCGGTGCGTGGTCCGCCCCACGCATCGCAGCTTTCACCACGACTAGGCTGTGCGCTGGTCGGTGGTTAGTCCATCCAGCCTCTCCCTCGGCATGGCGTGGGGCAAGGCCAAAGGCGGAGGCAAAGGCGTGTCGTACTCCGATGTCTGGCCTCCTCTGGCTGGTCCTCTGTTCGGCAAGGGCGGCGGCGGTGTGCTGGATCAGGACGACAACCAGCAGCCAGGCAAGAAGTGGGAGTGCCAGGCTTGCGGGTGCGCCAAGAATGCAGCTCGTTTCTATTATTGCAAGCACTGTGGAGCCTACAAGCAAGTCCCTCTTCGGCATGGTCTGGAGATGCTGCACGTCAGTTGTTCGGCTACGGGCAGCTCAACGGCGGCGCTGCGTGGGGCAAGGGACCTGGCGGTGGTGACGCAGGACTGCGACAGAAAGGTACTGGAGGCGGCTTCCCCCAGGGAGGTGGTCAGCAACCCGCCCCTGCTGGCGCTGCTGCAGCAAAGTTCACAGCCGCTGAGTACGAGACCATGGCAGGCTTCGCCGAGCGTATGGGAGATTCTGTAGGTGCGGCTGCCCATCGTCGTGCTGCCAAGGCCCCCACCGCGCCGAAGCCAGCAGAAGAAGCTATTCAGGTTCGTCTCAATCGGGCTCACTGGAAAGTGCATGGTATCAACAAGCGGTTGGAGTCGGCTGTTGAGAAGTACGAACAGTATGAAGCTCAGCTCAACAATCAGAAGACGGTGGTGCTGGAGCTGCGTGCGGAGCTCACCAATGCCGAAGGTGAACACGCGACACTCTTGCAGGACTTGGTGGAGTCGCAAGAGGCAGCTAAGCATCCACCCACGTCGACGGTCAAGCTTGCATTGGAGGACATCATGGATAAGGAGCGTCTCGCGAAGGTCTTTGACATCAGCGTATCGGACTTGTTCAAGTGCGACGGTGTGGAGCTTGACGAATCGGACAACATCGAGATCGCGTCACGCGTGCAGCAGCTCAAGGCAGGGCTCACGGCGATGGCCAGCACCCTCTTCGCCGAGGCCAAGCAGAAGGCCGACGGCCTCAAGTCCGCCCACGCGCTGCACATCAAGCGGCTGGCGGCTAAGCGGCCTCGAATGGAGCAGGAGGCGGCCTTCGAGGAACCTCCTGATGCTGGTGATCCTGCCGAAGGAGATGAAGGCGCAGCCCAGCCGCCGTCTGCCGAGGCGGAGCCAGGCACGGCACCTGCGCCAGGCACTCCGCAGACAGCCACGGTCGACCTGTCCGCGGGCAAGTGCGGCCCTCTTCTGCAAGGAGCTGTTCCAGGCGCAGGCGCGCCAGGCGCAGCGGGCGCTGCGGCAGCAGCTCCGACCACGCCTGCTACGACAGGCACTGCTCGTGAGCGCGCTGACCGCATTGCCGCGGCCACTCACGCACTCAATGCTTAGCTACCCCCTGGAGGCCAGCCCTGATACTCGTCGCCTCCTCGAGTCGTCGGTTGATCGGGGTCCGCAGGTCCTTCGCTCGGAAGGCTGCCTCCAGGGGGGTTTTGAAGCTCGTTTTAGTATTTCGGCACGCTGATTTCCGCTCAGCAGCGCAAGCTGCCCTCCTCCGCAAGAGGGATTCGCTTCGTCGCAAGGCTGATGTGACGCCAGACTGCGCCCATGTGTATTTGCATGATTTTGCGGTGCCGAGGGTTTTGTATCCTGTTCACTCCCTTGGTAAGCCAGCGCGCAAGGATGCCACTGACGGGGCTGTCCCGCACGTGGCCACTCCTGTTTGCCCCCCCATGGAGGGGGGATCTCGTCCCCACGTTGAGCTCGTCGCTCTCGGAGATTTTAAGTCAGGACATTCCAAGGGCAAATTCGAACCCTTGGGTTCTCAGAGGGTGCAGCACCCCTCTGAGGATTTCAAGTCGTCAGCGCATTCTGTGAGTAATGTCAGATTGCCTGTGCCTGCTCCTCTCGTCGGCAGCGAGCAGCCATCGGTTTCTAACCCTGACAGTTTGGTGCCACTCACGATTCAGACCATTAATGCCAACTCGTGGGGAACTTTGAATGGTCTGCTCGAAGATTGTTCTGCCCTCATTGTGCTCGGTCAGGAGCACCGTTTGATTTCCAAGGAGGACATCGAGCAGGCCAGTGCTTGGTGCATAAGGCATGGATGGAAGTCGGTTTGGGCCCCTGCTATCCCCACCCAAGCGCAGGACACGAGTGGGGGTGTTGCCATTTTCGTGCGCTCTTGGCTGGGGCTTCTGGAGGTCGAGGGTGCCATCACGACGCCTGGGCGATGCATCGCGTGCTCCGCGCACCTCCCTGGGACCCCCCCCATCCTGGTTGCCTCTGCCTACCTTCACCACTCAGAAGGCCTCAGCGATGGTAATCTTTCGTTGCTTGCGAGGCTTGGCGAGCAACTGTCGACCGTTGGCCAGCCGTGGGTGGTCGGTGCCGATTTTAACTTGGAGCCGGCTGAGCTCGAGTCTTCAAGTTTTGTGTCTGAGTTGAGGGCTTCCCTCATCTTCCCCCTTGTTGCGACGCACTATCCTGCGGGCCCTCCCACGACTTTCGACTTCTTCGTTTGTTCGGGCGGTCGTGCTAAGGGTCTCAAGTCGGTCGATACGAGATTGGATACGGAGCTCCCCCCCCATAGGCCCGTCCAGTTGGTTTTCCATCCCAAGCTGGCGGTGCTTCACGCTCTCTCTTTCAGGAAGCCTCCCCCCTTGCCTTGCCAAGTGGTTTTCGGCCCTGCCCCCAGGGAAAGTTGTTGGGCTGGGGAACTTGCGCTGGCGTCAGAGGCTGAACGTTGTCTCCAGAATGGTGACGGTCAAGGGGCCAAACGTCTTTTGGGTCCGCTCTACAGGAAGTGGGCTGACCACGCGGAGCGTGACCTCATTCCTTTGGTGGGCGTTGCCCCTCCCAAGTTAGGTTCCAGGGGTTTGGGTCCTCAACTTGTGTGGAAATCTATCCTGGGCCAGGACGGGAAGGTGCGTCATCCTGGTCATCGCGCGATCCGTTGGCTCGGGCAACAGCTTCGCGCCTTCATGCACGCTCGGCGCGGAGGCGCTGCTGCCACTGCTGCCAGGCTCAGTTGCGTGTTGGTGGAGCCCCCGCCCAGCATCTCGGCCGCCGTGGATGACTACGAGCCGCTGTTCCAGCGTGCGGCTCAGGAGGTCTCCGCCTTTGGCTCTGGTGGGAATGTTGAGTCTCTCGCTGATTTGTGCACTCAGGTTCACGAGGCCGTCAAGGCCGCCAGCGCCAAGTACGCCGCCAAGAGCCGAGCTGACTGGGCAGCATGGCTGCACGTTGGCATAAATAAGGGAGCAAAAAGGGTTCATCAGTGCATTAAAGATCCTGTTCCATGGGTCCCTTCTTCGACTCTCGCTGCTTCAGGTTGTGTCGTCAGCGATCCTCTCTCCCTGCTCAAGGCGGAGGGAGAGAGGTTCAGCAGCATATGGGGTGAGGGTCGGGGGGCCGAATTTGATGGTCAGGTCCTCGAGCCTCTTCCTCGACCCACGGCCAGCGAAATCCGTGATATCTCTAAGTCCTACAAAGATTCTTCGGCTGTGGCTGTGGACGGATTTCACTGCAAGCATTTTTTCGTTGTTGCCAGATGCTGCGCTCGATTGCCTCAGCGCCATTTTTTCGATCATGGAAGCGCTAGGCTGCCTTCCTCCGCAGATCTCTGTTGTCACGTTGGCGCTTCTGCCGAAGCCCACTGGTGGCTACAGACCGATTGGGGTGTTCTGCTCCTGGTTCAGGGTTTGGGGCCGCTGTCGGCGGCCCTTTGCCTTGAACTGGGAGCAAGAACGCCCCAAACGGTACTGGGCTGCTGGTAGATTTCGAGGAGCCGCCGATGTGGTTTGGCGTCAAGCGGTCACCGCCGAGACGGGTCTTGCCATCGGGGAGTCCGCATGTTCGGTCCTGTTCGATCTTCGCAAGTTCTATGAGAACATTAGTCTGAAAGAGCTGGAGGTCCGCTGCAAGAAACATGGATTCCCTCTTGCGATTGCCCGTCTTTGCATTTATGCCTACAGGTGTGGGCGCTTTCTCTGCCTAGGAGGGTGGCTGGAAGGCCCCTACTTCTGCCAGAATGGGGTCATCGCAGGCTGCTCGATGGCCACCACGTTCATTCGGGTTTTTTGCCAGGACGGGTACGACTCTCTTCCTGCCATCCCCAGGCTCGACCTCGACGTGTATATCGACGACCAGGGGCTCTCGTGCACGGGCCAACATCGGACCGTGGTCGAATCGATCGTCGCAGGGGCTAAGGCGCTCCATGGTATCGTTGAGGCTTGTTTCGGTTGTTCCCTGGCCCTGGACAAGACTGCTGTGGTTGCTTCTTCGAAGGCCCTGGGGGAGGAGGTTTCTGTCGAAATTTCGCATCTAGGAGGCAATTTTACGTCTGGTGCTGTCAACTTAGGCGTTGACTACACGGCTGGCCGCGCGCTTAGGGTGGCAGGGCGCTCGGTGAAGTCTAAAATGCGTATCGCCAAGGCTGCGAGGGCGGCCAAGAGATTAAAGCGTCAGATCAAAGTCATCTCTAGGCCGCAGGTTCTTAGGGTGTTCTCGTCGGGGCCTCTTGCGGGGGCGTCTTATGGCTCCGAAATTACTGGCACTAGTGACCTCGAGTTGCTTCGGCTTCGTCGTCAAGTGTTTTCTGTGGTCCGTCCCAGATCTCAGCTGAGATCTTTGACGACGGCGGCCTTGCTCGATTGTGATCCGTGCTGGCGCACTGCCACCGCCCCCATTCTCCGTTGGTCCAAGGAGATTTGGCTGGCTCAGACTGGGGCTTACTCTTGGGGGTTGGACTTTCCCTCGTTGCGCCGTGCGTGGGAAGCGGTTTTTTCCAACCCTGTTTGCTCCTGGAGGGTGGTCTCGCCCCGTGTCGGCCCTTCGGATGTCCCTGGTCAGGCTGGGCTGGACTATGGACAACTTCATGACGGTGCGAGATGACCGTGGCTTTTCGATTCCCCTCGGCATTATCTCGCCTGCTTTATTCAGGATCTTGCTCAAGGATGGGTATTTTAGGATGTTGGAGAGGCTCTCTGCTGAGAAGAGGGGAGTGCTCCCCAGGATATGCTATGATGTGCTGCGCGAGGCCTTGGCCTCCAAGAAATACACGGCCCTTCAGAAGGCACATATCAGAGCGTTCGCCACCGAGGCCTTTTTCACTGGAGATCGTGCTGTGAACTTAGGCTACGTCGTGGACGGCAATTGCCCGTTCTGCGGCGCCACGGACACGATCTTCCACAGGTTGTGGGAGTACCCCCACGAGCCGGTGGCTGAGCTTAGATCCTCACTAGTTGATGATAGCACTGTAGCCGAAGCCCTAGCTGCTAAGGACGACGAGGAAGCAGTGTTCGTTTTCATTTCTGGGGCTTTCCGCCACCCCGCCGACGGGTACCCCAGGCCCCTCTCTGAGACGGATAATGGCCCGTTTCTTGTGTGGCACCACCATGATATTTCGTCGCCCTCTGGGGCTAAGCCTGGCACTGAACTTCGGGGTAATGTGTTCATTGACGGCTCTAGCAGCCGCCACACTGTTCGGGAGCTCTCCAGAGCTGGCTGTAGTGCGGTGATGGTCGACGACCAAGGGTCGGCCGTCGCAGAATTTCGGGCCCCTGTGTGGGCCCCTTATCCCCAGACGCCACAGTCGGCTGAGTTCAGCTGCTGGACTTGGGCCAATGTGCTCGCGTCGGCCAGCATCGTTGTGTTCTCCGACTGCAGCAATGTGGTCAATCTTGCCTGTCGGCCTAAGGCCGAGCAGCTGAGTGGGAAGAGGGCCTACTCTGGGGCCTTCCTCCAGCTCTACGCTCAAGGTGTATCGCCAGCAACGTGCACCAAAGTCGCAGCTCATAAGGAGCTGGACGAGGTGGGGATCGACGCAGCTGAGCGCTGGAGGCGTCTCGGCAATCATCACGCGGACGCAGCTGCCAAGCACGCAGCGCGTCTTCATCCTTCTTGTCCAGACAAGCTAGCGGCTGCGGACAAGCTTGTCTCGCAGGCTCGCCAGACGATCAGGCTGGCGGCCCATGTATTGCATGCGTGGCCTTCCTTGGACCTCTCCGAGGCAGGACGAGTTTTAGCCCCGCCTGCCACTGCTGGAGTTTCCGCAGGGCACCGCTGGGAAATGTGGTCTGGAGTGTGGCGCTGTGCTGTTTGCCTCAGAGGCAAGCGATCTCAGAGTAGGCCCTCGCCTGGTGTCTGCTCCCAGGAGTCTCGGCTTCACGCGTCCAGTCAAGACGCCCTCGAGCATCGTACGATTGCGTTCGACTGCTCGGATGGCTCGGTTTTGTTTATCTGCACTAGGTGCAAGGCGCATTCCAGTGGAGCTTCTGTCCGTGGTTTAGCCGCCAAGTGCCAGCCGCCTCCTTCGCGCGCTGCGAAATACGGCTGGCAAGCCCTGTGCAAAGGCAAACACCCGCATTACAGGCAGCAAAAAGCGGGTGTGACTGTTGATGTAGGCAATCTTATGCTGTGCTTCAACACCTATGCCTAATTTGTTTTGCAGGCCTGTTGCGCCGCCTCGTTGCTGCAGGTGTCAGATCCTTTATGGTCTTAGAGGAGGGCGTGGAGCCAAAAAAAAAAAATCTCCTCCTCCTTTTTCTCCTCCTCCTCCTCCTCCTCCTCCTCCTTGTCTTCCTCCTCCTCCTCCTCCTCCTCCTCCTCCTCCTCCTCCTCCTCCTCCTCCTCCTGCTCCTCCCCCTCCTTCAGCATCGGGGCTCAATTGACGGGGGTCAACGCAAACAAGGGTCAGTCAGAGCGCCAGACCTTGCAGGATCCAGCAGAGACAGGGGGGCACTGGCCCAGGCTTGGTTGCAGGATCCTGCAGGATCTAAGCCTGACTGACCCCCGTCTGGATTGACCTGGGTCAGTAGCTCCCCGACAAAAGCCACATGCGAACCTTGCTCGGGTGTTGCCAGAAGTGCCCGTGGCCCAAGATGCCCCCAGAATTTCCAAGGAGGCCCCCGTGGCCTCCAGAGCACGCCCCACGAGGCCCATAAGGCCCTCGGGGCTCCAGAATTGAACGAACAGCTGCGGGCACCTTGGGGCACCCACAGCAACCCCCGACCTGCCGTTGCAGGTCCAAACGGCACCCGGGTGCCCAACACCCCCGCGACGCAAAGGAGGGCCCGTCGAGACAGCGGCTGCTTTCAATGGCGCTGTTCGTCCCCAACGGCTGCATCCACCCCGAAAATCAAGTCAGGATGGACCCCGGGCATGTCCGGAGACCATTTTGAGCGGATTCGGGCCGGGCGGGAAAGTCGCTGTTGCCTCAGCTGGCCCTCCGAGCAACCCTCGGACTGGGCTAGGACGAGGATAAATCCGTTCCAGAGCGTTCCGAAATGCCCTCAGAGCGTTCTGGAACGCTCTGAGAAGGCCGCGGCGCCCGAGATATCCTCCAGAGCCGCAGGATCTCAGAGATTCTCGATTTATCCTCACCCGGTTTTATCCTCGTCCTGGCTTCGTCTTAAGCCCGGGGGGGATAAATTTGCCGATAGCCCGACCAGGGAGGTGAGGATTCGGTATTGGGGGCCGTCGCCTATTTATCGGCGATGTATCGCCGATTCCAGGTCGATATTTCCACCCCATGTGCCTATCTCCCCCTGTGATTGCCCTTCAAGCTGGCCCTCCGAAAAACCCGGGGGAGGGGGGGGGGGGAATCTGCCGCAGAGGCAGCTTTCAGATGCCGAGCCCCGCGGCATCTTTCGGGGCAGGGGATCGGCAGGGGCAGGCGCCTCGCCCCAGGGGCCTCCTCATGCCCCTCCCTCCTCCTCCCTCCTCCTCCCTTTCTTCTCCTCCTTCCATTCCTTTTCCTTATACATGGATTTCCCCTGTCGCACCCCGAGGCCAGTTTTTAGGGCGGGCCGGGCGTTTCGCCTGAGACTTCCTCACCATTTATGGGCCTGAAGCTGAAACAGTGGCAACAGTTTCACAGATGGTGGGCGGGTGGTCTTCAAAATGTGGCCCTCGCTTTAGCGCCGCGCACATTCGTTGTAACAAATTGCAAGAGCTTCACTGATTGAGGGCGGGTCGTTTTAAACATGTGGTTATCGCCTTATCGCCGGGCACATGCGTTTTCAAAGTTTCAAGAGTTTCACGGATTGAGGGCGGGTGGTTTTCAAAATGTGGTTCTCGCCTTCGCGCCGCGCGCATTCGTCTTTTTTAAGTTGCAAGAGATTCCCCGATTGAGGGCGGGTGGTTTTCAAAATTTGGTTCTCACCTTAGTGCCGCGCACATTCGTTTATATTTGCAAGAGTTTCACGGATTCCCATGATCAGCGTGCCAGAAATGGCGTTTGGGAAGAGTTCACGATTATGAGGGTACAACAGTTATATTGTTTCGCAGTGTTGAATTCCCAGGAATGGCGTTCTGGCTCGATTCAGGATCGTCAAGACGCCACAGTCAAGTTGATCCGTTGCGTTGGAATCCCGAGAACATTTTTTGGCACGGTTCAGGATCTTCAAACGGTTGCCTTCCAACGAGGCAGCTCCCTCAGTGGAAATGAACCCTTGTTGGGGCTTGCGAAGAGGGAGCATGGAGGCAGGGGTTATCCCAACATCATTGATGACTCTTGGGGTTTACACTGGTCCTCCCTCCTCCTCCTCCTCTTCCTCCTCCTCCTCCTCCTCCTCCTCCTCCTCTATTCAGGAACTTCCGGAGCGAAGGGACCAACCTCCAGAGCAGATAAGGCAGCGAGGAAGCCAGCGTGCCAGCGACCACCATTGCGGCCAAGCATCCAGGCCTGGCTCCCCTGAGATTTTGGCGTCGCAGTTTGTTTCGCAACGCGCGTTTCCTCCCACTTTCCCTTCCAGACCGAGCCGAGTCGGATAACGTCGCAGAAGGATGAGGTCTGGGGCTCCGACCATGATTTTTGCCATGTGGCAGCTTTTTGCTGAAACGTCAAGTCTGGTGGAGCGAGCGACCGAGCGCCCAGTCCTAGCCAAGGCCAGGTGGAGGAGGCGGTGGCCTCTGGAACATGCCGAGGCCAGGTGGGCGACGCACCGAAAGCGGGTTCGACGGAGCGGACATTCTCGCGTGAGCCTCCCACGTAAGGGCGCGCGTGCACGCCCTCGTCTCCAATGTAGCGCGCCGCGCCGGCGGCCCGCGTAAGCCACCGCGTAAGGTCACTATGTCATCTCGCGTAAGTCGAGCAATGGCAAAGCGTCCTGGCTCTCCTATAGGCCCACAAAATCATGTTCTAAGAACCGTTTGTGGTCTGCACGAAATGTTTTTCGAAAAATTCTGGCCGAGACCGTCGTGTTTCAACACGTAGGGTTTCTGTTATAAGAGCATGGTTCTTGTGATTCGAACATGCTTGGTTCTAAGAGAACTTCGTGGTAGGCCTATAAGAATGCTGGGACGGTCGGTCCCCGCTCAAGTAAGACCCGTTTCTGATCGTCGCCCAGGTGGGGGGAGGCAGTAGCCTCTGGCACGTGTTCAGGCCAGGTGGACGGGTGGGGGGAACCCGGGGCGGAGGTCGACCCTCCGCTTGGAAGGTTGTTGTTGAGCCTCTGGGGCGCGTGGCCTCCCGCGAGGGCAGCCCGCTGGTGGCGCCTCTGGGGGATACCCCGTACGGCGCGGCGTACCTCGTGGCAATCCGGCCGCCCGCTGGCAAGGCGAGCGCCCTCATGGACTGGGCCACAGAAATCGTAGGATGCAGAGTAAGTCCGTACGGAGGGCTCGGTCTCCCAACGGACTTACTCCGTCTGGATTCAGCTTCTCCAGATCGGATGCGAGGTCCGTGCGGAGTAAGTACGCACGGAGTGCTCGGTCTGCGTCCGGACTTCCTCCGTCCAGATTTAGCCCCTCCTGACGAAAAGACCCTGACCCTCTTGTCGGGGTCCGATCTTTCCGCCGAGACCCACCATAAGTCGGGGCAGGATTTTCGATCGATGGATTGGCGGTGCACCCGTGGCCATGAAGGAGGGGGATCCTGAGGGAAACGGGTCTTAGACATTTGGTTCTCCCCGAGGACCAGCTGTTCAAACTGTTGGCCTCTGGCCGAAACATCCGACGATTTCCATAACATTGGGGGTACCTTTGAATGCCTCTTGGGGTCTCTTCACTTTGCTCGTGATGCGTTCACTTGGCTTGTGATTCGAACGGCACGCGCGCGAGCTAATATGGACAGCATCGAAACATGTGGATGCTGTTTCGGCAACGGCAACGACAACAACAACAGCAACAGCAACGGCAACAACAACAACAGCAGCAGCAACACCAATAATAATAATTCAGCAACAACAACAACAACAACACCAACAACAACAACAACAACAACATCATCAGCAGCAACAATAGCAGCAGCAGCAGCAGCAACAGCAACAGCAGCAGCAACAGCCAAACCGCATATACCTGTTGGGGCTCTTCGGAGGCCTCTTGGAGGGCCTCCTGGGATAATCCTGAGGGCCTTCTGGCGGTCTCGGCGGCCGTCTTGGGGCTCAGGGATCCAAACGTCAGTCTGTGCTCCCCGTGGTGGGCCCCTCTTGGGGCGGTACTGTGATCCTCCTGGGCCTTCGGGGGCCGCTTTAGGCGCTCTTAAGACCGAGGAGGGGCATCGTGGGCCTGCGCCCAGGGCCTTCAAGACGACCCAAGAGGCCCCCAAGAGGGCCCCAGGATGAGCCTCGGGGCCATCTTCAGGCCACGTTGCAAGCGTCGAGCACAGGGAGGGCACTGGATAAGAAACCCTCGGATGAGGAATCCAGGGTATGGAAGCCGGCGGAAAACCAATCAGGCTTGGCCATGGAGATCACCGCCGCCTTCATCAGATGAGGAATCCCCCGAGGGTCTGAAGCCTCATGGGCACATCAGGGCTGGACCTAAACGCTGTTTTGCTGGACTTCGGCCGTGTTTTGTTTCTCGTTTTGGCAGGGAGGTACAGGAAAGCAGGTCGAGCAGAACGAACACACAAAACAAAGACAACACGAATCACAACGTTTAGGTCCAGCCCGGGGCACATTCCTTCACCAACGCCCCCACCGTCGCCAACCACGACCCCGAGGCCTCCGCAGAGGCTCCGGGCCTCGCGGCCAGCTCCTACGGCATTCGGGCAGAGGGCTCGAAGGGGGCCCGAGGATGACCCCACCGGGTGCCTCCTGCTGCTCCCGAGTTGCTGCTCCGGTGCTCCGCCTCCCTCTGCTCGGGCCTGCTGCCGCTCCTGCCGCGCTCCTTGCCGCTCTTGGTGCTCTTCCTGCTGCGCCCCCTGTGCCGCGCCTCCTGCTGGCTCCTCCTGCTGCTGCTGCTGCTGCTGCTGCTGCTGCTGCTGCTGCTGCTGCTGCTGCTGCTGCTGCTGCTCCCTGTCTGCTGCTCCAGACGGCCTGGTGGCGGATCCTCGATCCTCCACGGCGGGACGACGACGAGTCCCAGAGGGCGGTGGGGGGCGGGGGAGGGTCGCGAGGACGGGGCCGACCCGCCGGGCGGCGGCTTCCTGGCGTTGCCAGGCCCGCGCCGCGCGCCGTGGGCCCCTGTGGCGCCTGAGCCGCAGTCGGGCGCCTGGAGCTGCCGTGGGGAGGGGGGAGGAGGAGGAGGAGGAGGAGGAGGAGGAGGAGGAGGATGGAGGAGGAGGAGGGAGGAGGAGGAGGAGGAGGAAGGAAGGGAAGAGGAGGAGAAAAAAGGAAGAGGAAGAGGAGGAGGAGGAGGAGGAGGAGGAGGAGGAGGAGGAGGAGGAGAAGGAAGAGGAGGAGAAAAAAAGGAAGAGGAAGAGGATGATGATGATGATGAGGAGGAGGAGGAGGAGGAGGAGGAGGAGGAGGAGGGTGGAGGAGGGTGGAGGAGGGTGGAGGAGGAGGAGGAGGAGCAGGAGGAGAACGACAACGACAACGAGAATGAGAACGAGAACGGGAACGAGAGGGACGAGGGAGGAGGAGGAGGAGGACGAGGAGGACGAGGAGCAGGTGGAGGAGGAGGGTCTCATGGGCTTCCTCGATCATCCGATCACGCCTGGATCTACGTGCCTAGGAGGATGATGGTCTCATACTCTTTCAGTGCCCTCCTTATCGATCGAGGTCGTGGCTGTGGTGGTGTACCCCCCATTCCTGTTCGTGCGGCTTGCTCGTGTAGCTCTGCGCCTTTGCGAGCACCTCGTCTTTTACCAATTGTATTTGCCCATCTTGCTGCCCGCACTGGTTGCAATTGAATGTGATGGCCGCAGCGCCCACCCTGACGCTGCGATCCCGGTCCGTCTTAGTTCGCCCAACGTCAAACAGGAGGAGGGGGAGGCCCCCAGCGGGCCTGTCCGCGTGCGAGGGGTGCCTCGGGACATCCTCATCGGCGGGCGAAGGCGGTAGCCTGCCAGGTCGACTTTCCACCGCCCGAGTGCGCATGTGCGCGCGTGCACCTGGGCTGCCTCTCCGCCTCCTCTTCCCGACGGCGCCCCGCCTTCCACTCGCCCCTCGTCTGGAGTCCACCATCTCTCGGCGGCGAGCGAGGGGGGAATGAGAAGGAGAAGACCTCCTCAGAAGGCGGCGAGACTTCTCGGAAGCCCTCGCGCCTTCTGAGAAGTTCTTTCTGTCTTCGGGAAAGGCTTCGAAGTCTTCTCAGAAGGCCGGGGGGCTTCCGAGCCTTCTGAGAGAGCCCGCCCCTTCTCACTTCCCCTCGCTCGCCGCCTGCTGCACGCCTTGCCAGTTCCGCCGCTGCCGCCGCCACGGCGCATCGCCTTGTCTCGCCTGCATTGTCGGTGCTGGCCTGAAGTCGGGCATGTCCTCCTGCGGGAGGAATATTCAAGAACAGGAAAAATAGTATAGCGGATGATGGTTCTACTATTTGTGATTATTTTTTGAATATGGTTTGACTTACTAACTATGCCTTTTTTGTCGTCCAAACGCCCGACCTAATGCTGGCCTTTCGGCGCCTCCTCGCCCTGTCCCAACGTCTCTACCCCCGCACCCCTGGCCCGGGCTTGCACACGGCACGGCCGGTGTCACTTGGTGGATGGATATTTGCCCCTGTCTTCTGGACGGACCCGCCGCGCGCGCCTCGCTCTTCCAGCTCTCCGACCCTCCTCGTCTCGACGCTGCGCGCGCGGGGCCGCGACGCCCAAACAGTGCGTGTGCGCGCGCGTGGAGGATTGGGAAGAGGAACCGTGGTGGTACGCTTTAGTCGGGCCTGGCCCTCTACAGGAGGAATACTCAGAAAAATAGTACAAAAATCGTCGATGGACGATGTTTCGATTATGTGTTGACCATTTTGGCGTATGCTTGCACCATTTTTTATGTTTCGCCCAAAGATCCGCCTGTAGGGGGACATGCCCGACTTATAGGTACATGTTCTGTTCCGTCCTCCTTGTCCTCCCTCCCGGACCCCACTGCCTTTCCCCAGCAAGGAGCCATGCTCGCCAGCCGGCCGTCTGGAGTTCCAGCAGGAGCATGTCCCGGGCGTACACGATCTCGGGCGAGGGCGCCGAGAAGGAGATCCACGAGGTCTGGTGTGTGTGCTTATTTTTCCTCTCTCTCAGGGGACCAGGGTATCTGTGTCCGTGGGTTGTCGGGCGTCCGCGGGTGCGTTCGGGCCCACAGGTGCCAGCTCTCCCTTGCAGAGCCGGTCCGATGTCTTCAATGCAGCAGCCCGTCCCATAGGCTCAGCCACTTCCAACACGATCACATGGATCGAGGTAGAAACGTCCATAGTTTAGGAAGAGACCTCCAGACCACAAGTCGAAGCTCTCATTGGGAGACTCATGGGTCTCAGAGGAGAGTCTCGGGCTCTCGCACGCAACATTCGCACGGATGTCGCGCCCCTGGTCGCGTTCCCTCGGCCCCAGGGCCCGCAGAACAGGCCGCCTCCGGGAGCACAGGCTCGGGCGAGGAGGAGGAGGAGGAGGAGGAGGAGGAGGAGGAGGAGGAGGAGGAGGGGACGGTGCAGGGTCCAGAGTTGCGGACGCGGTGCGGCGACGGGCTTTGTGCCGCCGCCTCTTGGCACCCAGGTCCAGCAGCCCACCCTTGAGGCAGCGGAGCTCCCTGGGGGTCTCTGGAGGTGCCAACAGGGCCCCTCACCCCGCGCGCAGGGTGGCTTCCAGACAACTTCCGAGACCCGGTATCAGGGTCCTCCCGAGGGCTACCAGAGGCCCGAGAAGAAAAGCAAGAAGAACCGAAAAGGAGACCGACTACAGGATTGAGTTACTTCAAACTGTCTTTTCCCGTCAAATCTACGACAAATGCGTGGAACGCTCGATTCTGCGCAATGTTCGTCGATTCGACGAAGACTTTCAGTTTGGGGTAACTCAATCCTGTAGTCGAAACCCTACTCGAAAGTAGAAGAAGAAGCAGCAAGTATCTAGGCCTCCCAGATGGGGTCCGAGCAGATGGTCTCGGAGGATCGCGCAGCATCGCCGATGCATCGGCGAGGCGGCTCGATGTGGAGCCCGATCTTACCCACGCTGACGTCACCGATGAATCGGCGATGCGGCGCGATTCTTCGCCCCCATCTACTCGGACCTCATGCGGGAGGCCTCTGACAGAGCGAGGGTGGCCAAGCAAACCAGCCGCGATCCTCGAGCTCCCCCCCGAGTGGCCTCCCCGACTCAGCACCGCTCGGACGCGTGCACTCTTCTCGGCGAGGCCGGCGGCTGAAAACCTGGACCATCTTGGAGCATCTCGGAGCACTTCGTGAGCCACCAAACGATGCACGGAGAATTGTCGGGCGGGGTTGGGACGACGATGAATCCGTTCCAGAGAGTTCTGGAATGTTCTAAAAGCGTTCAAGAACGCTCTGAGAACGCCGCTGCGCCCGAGCCGTCCTCCAGAGCCGCTGGATCTCAGAAATTCCCCATTTATCGGGAGCCTCGAGACTGGGGTGAATGCCAACGGGCGTCAGCCAGAGCGCCGGATCTTGCAGGATCCTGCAGAGCCAGTGGAGCAATTCCCCGGGCCAGCGCGCAGGATCCTGTGGGATTCTGCAGAGCCAGACTGACTGAGGGTAGCATGGACCTGGGTCAGTAGATTCCCGAATTTACAGTCAACCCGCATAGTAAGGATGGGCAACCTTCCCAAGAGTACCCTTGCATCCTTGCCCCTTCGACCCATCCTTAGCGTCTCTCGTTGGCCAGCCTGGTTCGAGCAACGTTCACATTTGCCTCCAGGGCCCTTGCATCCTTTACCGCGCATCCTTCTGCTACGGGTTGACTGTATCCTCACCCGAGCTTTTCCTCGTCCTGGCTTCGTCTTAGGTGGACGTCCGAGCGATGGCCTCCTGGGTCAGTACATCCCCGACAGCAGCCACATGAGGCTGGCAGCAGCATGGCCTCCCAGGTGGGGTCGGAGTAGATGGGGTCGGGGGGTCGCGCCGCATCGCCGATGCGCCGCCGTTGCGGCTCGATGTGGAGCCCGATTTGCTTCACGTGGACGTTCTGACCCGAATGTATCCTCACCCGAATGTGTCCTCGTCCTGGCTTTGTCTTAGGTGCACGTTAACCCGCATAGCAAGGATAGGCAACCTTCCCAAGGGTGCCTTTGCATCCTTGCCCCTTCGACCCATCCTTAGCGTCTCTCGTTGGCCAGCCTAGTTCGAACAACGTTCATATAGGCCTCCAAGGCCCTTGCATCCTTTACCGCGCATCCTTCTGCTACGGGTTGACTGTATCCTCACCCGAACTTATCCGGGTGGGGTCGGAGTAGATGGGGTCGGAGGATCGCGCCGCATCGCCGATGCGTCGCCGATGCGGCTCGATGTGGAGCCCGCTTTGCTTCACGTCGACGTTCTCACCCGCATGCATCCTCACCCGAGCTTGTCCTCGTCCTGGCTGTGTCTTTCGGGGAACGAAGAATGACATGAACATAGCGGTGCATCAATTCAAGCTTGATTGAAGAGGTTGGCTGCGCCCCTTGACGTCCGTTTGGGGTGTTCTGCAGACCTCCCCCCCGGCCCTGCTCAACGTATACTCGCCATGGCTTCGCCTGATGGTGCACGTCCGTGCGCTGGCCTCCCCGAGGTGCGCACGCGCTGCGACGGCGAGCGCTGCGTCACCGCCGCCCGGCACGTGCTGCCCGCGGGCCGCCACGGCGCAGAGCCCGCGGCCGGGGGTTGGGACTTCCTCGGCCCGCGCGCGGGCGGCCACCGCCCACCGAACCGACCCCAGCCCAGCCCGACGGCCCCGATCTGCCCTCTATATTCTGGCTCCAGCCGCGACGGCTTCAGCAAGTTTCGTCGTGAAAGCTTGTGTTCGTAAGTCCGGTCGGCCTCACACTGCCTGAGCCCGGCCGTTCGATCTGCAGAGGGTGTTCAAAGCACGTGCGCTCGAGCCTTGCTGACCGGGTTGTGAAAAACTTGCTGAGGAAAAGTGCAGCTGTAAGACGTCCGATGTGTCACCTCAGACGTTGCTCATCGAAGGGGGTCGGGGAAAATTTGAAAAACCGCATCTGAAGCCCGTCCCACCCCAAAAAAAACCCGACGTTCGGGCGAAATTCGGGTCTTCGAGTTGGGTTGGAGTGGTTTGGTAGGTAATCAGGCGGCCCGCCGCCGGCGCCCCACGCCTGGGAGCGCGCAGGACCTCGCACCAGGAGCCTCAAGAGGAGGAGCAGCTGGATAAATCGGAGGAGGAAGATCGAAGAAGAAAAAACGCCATAAACATAAACTTGTAGCGCTCCGCGCGGATTTCCTGGATCCGTGCTGGGCACCCCCCGCGGTGCCTCCGGCGCCGCCCCTGACGTGCTCCGCGCGCCTGGGAGCGGGGTCCAGCGCAGATCCAAGAAGTCCGCGCGGAGCGCCAAAAGTTTGTGCTTATGGCTTTGTTTTCCTCCTGCTAGAAGAGGTACTGATAGCGCTACCCTTCGCCCGTTTTTGCCTGTTTGGGCCTCCCGGGAGGCTCTCGTCGCCACCGCTGCATTCGCCTCGAAATTGTAATCAGAACGCACCCCGGGAAAGGTCCAGGGAGTAACGGTATCGGTACTTTGTGGTCCCCCCAGCGAACATGAAGTTTCGCAGGTCCGCGCGGATTTCTTGGATCGGCGCTGGGCTCTCCTGGCGGCGCCTCTAGCGCCGCCCCTAGCGCGCTCCGCGTGCCAGGGAGGGGTGCCCATCGCAGATCCAAGAAATTCGCGCGGGAGCCTCAGAGGAGGACAAGCCGCCCATGCCGCTACGCTTAACTACCTGGTTGTCCTTTTCCTGGCCCTCCTGGGAGACCCTCGTCGCCATTGCTAGATTCGCCTCGAAATCCTGGTCAGGACGCGCCCCAGGAGAGTTCCGGGGAGAACCGGTATCGGGCTGTGCCTTTTGGTTTCCTCCGGAGCCGCAGCCGTCGTCGATCGTCCCTCAGACGCGGCCGTTGCAACTGTTTCGCTCCCGGCGTTACCGCCCCAGGGGCTCTCGAGCCTCCAGGAGCTTCCGGAGCGGAGGGAGCGACCTCTAAGAGAGGGAGCGAGCGAGCGAGGGACCACCAGTGCGGACAAGCCTCTGGGCCTGATTAGCTACACTGAGATCCTAGCGTCGCCACAACGAGACGCCCCCCAAGTCCTTCTCCACTATATCTTCCAGGTCGTTGTCGTAGTAGTCTATTTCGTCGGCCGGCATAGGTATCTGCTCTACCGTCTCGCTTTTCTGCTCGGTGCCTTCCATGCCGCCTAATCCTCCTGGTAGTTGCCAAAACTCCAGCCACTCCTGCTTCGTAGGGTTGGCGGTGACCATTGTCCAGTAATCTCGTTTTCGTGGTACATATCTGCCTCGCGCGATCAGCCTGGTCAGTCGGCCCACGCGAGCGGGGTCTCGTCGTTCCCATGCCTCGTACAGCTCCTCGACCCTGGCGTCTGTCTTCTTCTGGTACTCCAGTTTGCGCCATGCCGCGCAGGTGGCGGTGACGCTCTTCAGTTCGCGCTCGATGTCGTCCAGATTCGAGGTGTCTGGAGTGTCGTAGGGGTTGCCTCCTTCGTCTCGCACTGGAAGGTAGTCGACCTTCGCGGCGTCTTCGCCCGCGATCGTGATGCAAAGTGCGTCTCCTTCTCGTCGTAGCCGTTCGCGTAGGTCTCGTCTACGTCTGAGTAGTTCCATGCGTCTGTCTCGTAGGACCTAGTACTCTTCTGGTCTGTGTTGCTGTTGGCCGTAGTACCGTTGTGCCGATGCAATGATGATCTGGTTCACGTCCACGAGCAGCTGGTCGATGTCTTTGCCATGCATGTCGTAGTTCTCGACCTGGTGCTCGACATCCTGGATGAACTCGTCTACGTGTAGGCCTTTACGTGCAGCCGCTGTCAGTTTGTCTTTATCCCATCTTACAGTAGCTTGTTTGGGTCGAACTCTTTGGCGCAGTGGGACACGAACTGAAGCTTGGACTGGTACGTGGTCTTTGTGTTGTCTGCGGCAGATGTGCTGTAGTATAGTGCCCATTCGTAGTAGCGGCCCCTGTGTGATCAGGCTGGTGGCCAGCGAAGTAGGTATCATGATGTAGTCAATGCAGCTGGCCGCATTCCCTCCGAAGAATGTGGGTCGCCAGGTACCTGTAGTATTAGTAACTGTAAGTCCATGCCGTTCTGCGTACTGTCTTGCTTTGTGTCCCGCTCCGCCAGGTAGTTTCTCCTTTCCACGTCCTGATCCCAGTGCGGGGCTCTCTGGGTGCTCCTTCTTGCTGGTGATGCCGATGCCATCATTTAGGTCCCTTGCAGTGAACAGTAAGCTGCCTCTAGGACGAGAGGCCGCGACTGAGTCCATCCATTTGAACCGCCGTGCAATGGTCGCGTAGTACTGCTTGCGGCCCGTTGTCGTCTTCGGTTGCGGCGGGCAATCGTAGCCTATGATCGTGAGCTGCGTGTCGTGTTGCTGCAGCTGGAGTGCCAATCCTCGTCCGCATAGCTCTTCGGGCGGTTCATGAACGTTGACCACGTTCGTTCCTCTGAGTTTGCCTTGGAGCGCCATCGTTATGCCCGTGCTCTGTTGGTGAGCGCGCCCGTCTTCCAGCCCGCATCGTAGACTCTGGTGCCCTGAATTCTCCGCTGTTCAGGGTACTGCTCTCGTCTCCGTCTTCGTGTTCCCGTCAATACGATTAGATCGAAGTTGGTTGCTTCCTCGAAGATCTCCTGCTGCCTGCCTGGGTTCGCGGAGAGCGGATTGAACAGCAGCAGCGCGAGGGACGCAGTCCATGCCGTGGCCGCCATGCGGGCCTCTGTCCAGTCATTCCTTCCTCCACATGCTGTGGAATGACGGGGTGCGTGCGCGCGCTGCCCTGACAATCTCTTAGGCCCAGATGGCAGCTAGAGGAGGAGGAGGAGGAGGAGGAGGAGGAGGAGGAGGAGGAGGAGGAGGGGGAGGAGGAGGGGGAGGGGGAGGGGGGAGAGGGAGGGAGGAAGGAGGAAGAGGAGGCGGCGGAGAGGAGGGGGAAGAGGGAGGGAGGAGGAGGAAGGAGGAGGAGAAGCAGGCCCTTCCCCTAAGGCGCGAACGCTCAATCAAGCCAACGCTTGTCCAACATGACAAACCCTCCTCCTTCCCATCTCCCCCCTCACCCCCTCTCCAGGAGCTGCGGCGGGGGCCTGCTGGAGAGGATAGCGGCCTTCTTCGGCAACGGCGGCGCTCACGGCAGCGCGCCCATGTCATCGTCGTCGTCATCATCATCCTCCTCCTCGCCCTTCTCCGTCCCAGTCCGTTATCATAAATTACTCCTAGTCGCGCCCCGAGAAGTGTCGGTAGGGCGGGTCGGGCGTCTGGCTTGAGGTTTCTTCGCAATTTCTGATCCTGAAGTTTGAAATGTGCAGCAGCGTCACAGATGGAGGGAGGGTGGTTTTCAGAATGTGGCTCTCGCCTCAGCGCCGCGCGCATTCGCTTTAAAACTTGCCAGGGCTTCAGGGATGGAGGGCGGGCAGTTGTTCAAAATGTGGCTCTGGCGTTCGTGCCGCGCACATTGAAAGCTCACAAGAGCTTGACGGATGGAGGGCAGCTCCTGTTCGAAGGGTGGTTCTCGCATGAACGCCCCGCGCAATCGTTTTAAAAGTTTGCAGCACGTTCGACGCATATTACAGTTGACGGCCCAGAACTTGCACTTCAGCACGATTTAGGATTGCCAGGGCGCAACAGCCACGTCGATTCATTGTGTTGAAGTGCCGGGCGTGGCGTTCTGTCACGATCCAGGATCGTCAGGACGCAACAGTAACCTTGATTCACGGTTTTGAAGTCCTTGGAATGGTGTTTTGGCACGGTTCAGGATTTTCACTCGGGTGTCTTCCAACGGGACACTTCCCGCAGTGAGGATAAGTGGTTGTAGGGACCTACGAAGAAGGCGTTTCGAGGACAGGTTAATTGCAACATCGTTGGTGCGTCTTGGGTGTGCATTGGTCCTCCTCATCTTATCATTTCTCCTCCTCTTCCTCGTCTCCCTTCCCATCTGTATGGCTGATGAGCACCCTTTGCCTTTCTGGGTCAGAGTGAAGTAGGGGCGGATCGGTAAAGTCCACTGGCGCTCAAGTATGCTCAGGACACCACCGATTCGCGGAAGTCGGTTCGAGAACCAGTTGGAGCAGTTCTTATGACGTTGAGGGGATCAGGATGGAGAGTTGACAGTGGAGATGCATGGCGCACCGAAGGAGAAGCCAAGATCGACCTCAATGAGATTTGGGTCGCAACGCGCAAGCTTCGAGCAGTTGACGATCACACAGGTGCAGGCGTGATCAAGACTTGGCTGGTGGGTGGTTTCTTCAATCAATTGCTTCCTTCTGCATCAGGTGAAGCCCGCTGAAACATAATTGTGAGATTACGTCGAGTTGAGGAAAGGATTTATATGCATTGAGTTTTCAGATGCGGCCAGCGGTGCAGTAGAGAGCGACAATATTGGAGTGGATGTGAGAGGAAAATGCGTGCCTGCAGGAAGACAGAATATGACCAGAACCACCTTGCGACCATGATGCTGTGCAAAGGATTGTTCTCTGATCCCCTGCATGACCGAACCCTCCCTCGCAAAGATTCACGGTGCCGCTGCCATACGCGTGTACAGACAGTGGCCTCATCAGTGGCAATGTTTGTGTGTGTGGATTTCGAGCGAGGCATGGTTGGGCCTTACCCGTCATTGACCCATGCGGCAGCGTTGTGGCAGCTGCGGATGGGCCCGTACCTTTTCCATGGCAGACGCCAGGGGCCGCCGAACTCCGGGCGGCGACGAAGGCGATTGCCCACAAGAGTCAAGGGCGCATCATTACAGGCTACAGACGTTGCGTATTGGATTGCGTAAGGGAGCTCCATAGGACTGCAACACTGAGCACCAGTACCCGGAGGTGTGGCGCAGATTCTGGGTGACGGTCGACGACGCGGGCCAGAACCACATCGATAGCGTGCGGAGCTTTTCGCGTCTCTCACAACCGGAAAGAAGCCCGAGAATTGGTGCCCCATTGGCATACTGGCACTGAGCACGAGCAGGTGGACGGTTACGCCAATCTGTGGGGCCAGATTGTATCCACGAGTCTTTCCTGGAGGGCGAAGGTTGGAATTCGTGGTGCTGCAGCTCGCCCGCTGCTGCGGTGGTAGGGCCTCGTTTCGAGTGGCGACGTAGGGCATGTGATTTGGAGTTTCAAGGGCAGGCGGATTTGCACGCATTGCGGAGGTAGCCGTGCCCGAGCGGTCGGATTGGCAAGTTCTGTTTGTGGAGGCCCGCCCAAAGGGGTCCGAGCGGCGCACGGACCCCCCGAGATCTCGAAGATTGGCCCGATGGTCTGATGTGCTGAGAATGTTCTGCCCGTTGCGACTCTAGAGCGCTCATTATAGCCATGCCATGTGTTGGTAGGTCCCCTGGGCTCCCCGAGGCACTACAAGCGTAAGTAGAATGGAAGCCCATGCCAAGAAACACCCTGCTTGCCTCCAGGGTGCCCTGGGTTTCTTGGGTGTCGATGGTTCTGCTATGGAAAGCGTGACGCTCCCACACCAAAAATCAATGGACGTCCTGGGTCTCAGGGATGGGTTTCTTCTGGAAGGTTTCTTGTGGTCGAGCCCCTATTGTAGGCAGTGGGTTTCGTCGGCCCGCTCTCATCTGCCCGCGGTGATGGCTCTCGCTAGCTGGAGCCTCGTTCTCGGAGTCCCTTCGTCGCTGCCTGGGGCACCTGGAGCATCCTCAGTCTCCCTTTTGCATCTCTCCATCCGCGCTCTCTCATTTATCTCCTCCCCCTATTGCGTCTCATCTCTCCTCCTCCTCCTCATCCTCCTCCTCCTCCTCCTCCTTTCTGCGTTGACCAAACGTGGCGCTCGAAGCATGTCACGTTCTTCCTCCTCCTCCTCCTCCACCTCCTCCTCCTCCTCGGCCGTCAGAGGGTTTCAGTAATTTGGTTGTAAAGGTAGCTGTTCGTAATCCTAGGGCACGAGTTGCACGGAGTTGGGGCAGCACGAGTTAGAAGCTCGAAAGGGTAGAGTGTGGAGAGTGCGCAACACGTCTCGCTGGGTCTCGCTCCTCTGGCGCACAGGGTTATTGCCAGCAGCAGGGCGCGGCACATGAGTCTCAGCTGCGGCGACGACGACGACGGCGGCGGCGGCCCTCCGCCACCGTGCCGGTGCTGGAGGCGCCGCGCCGCACGCGGCGGCGCCGGGCTGGGGCCGCGCCGCGGGAGCTTCGATGGCGGAGCTGTCGCTGGGCCCCCAAGGCCCCCACGTCGTCGTCGACATCGACGTCGACGATGGTGGACTTCTCGCCGGGCCCCCAGGCCCCCTCGTCCTTCGGGCGTCGCGTGGTGGGGGGGCGACATAGCATGGTCTTGGCATCGCTCGGACGTGTGCATTTTTTCTCGGCGACGGCCATCGAGGAGCATCCTTGATCATTTAGCGGAAAAAACACGCACGAAATCGACAAAAAAACACAGGGAACGGACGTCCGAGCGATGGCCAGGGGTAAGGTGAGGAGTGGTGCACCTTTTGTGCCGTAAAGGGGCCCCCATGGGGCCGAATGGGGGCGCGAGAGGTACACGTTACCCCCCCCCCCTCGATCGTCCCCCCATGGAGCAACGCCCGACGCCCAATCTTCTCATCAGCCTCGTCGTCCACTTCCCTCCTCCGCCCCCTCCATCGTCCTCCATCCTTCTCCTTTTCTGCTCCCCTCCTCTTCTGCCCCCTCCCTTATCCTCATCATCAGCAGCAGCAGCATCAGCATCATCATCATCAGCATCAACATCACCATCGTCATCATCAGCAGCAGCATCATTGTCATCATCAACAGCATCATCATCGTCGTCATCGTCACCGCCATCGTCATCGCCATCGTCATCACCATAATCGATCATCGTCATCATCATCATCGCCGTCACCATCATCACCATCATCTGCATCGTCATCATCAGCAGCATCATCAGCAGCATCATCCTCATCATCATCATCACAACAACAGCATCATCATCCTCAAGAACATCATCATCCTCCTCGCCATCATCAACATCGTCATCATCATCAGCATCATCATAATCATCATATGTACGTAATCATCACCGTCATCGTCATCATCACCATCGTCGTTATCATCGTCGCCATCCTCAGCAGCAGCATCATCATCATCATCCGCCACCCCCCCCATCGTTCTTCCTCTCCTTTCCTCGCTTCCGCTCTCTCCCCATGCACACGAGGTGTTTTCCCCCCCAAGCGGGAAATGGTATGCACGCTGTTGTCTGACGTTCCCAGGCGTCTTCGCAGGCCTCCTGGATTGAAGCTAAACAGCAGAGAAAGGGGAGGAGCAGAAAGCGAATTCAGAATGAGAGCGAGAATGGGGACGGTGTGAGGGGGCACGGGGAGGCAGGGGGGCACAGGAGTGAGGAGTGGCGGAAGGGGGAACGGGAGAAGGAGGAGGAGGAGGAGGAGGATAAGGAAAAGAGGGAAAATGGAGAAGAGGGGGAAGAAGGGGGAATAGGAGGAGGAGGAGGAGGAGGAGGAGGAGGAGGAGGTTGCTCGAACAGGCCGCGAACGGGAGCGTTCGCCCGACCTGAGCGGCTCGGCGGCCATCCCCGTTGCTGCAAGGCGCACCGATGCCTGGCTGCGCACCTCGCGGCTGGGCCAACGCTCCGTCGTGCGGACCCCGCGGACGGCGCGGCGGCGCCACGCTCCAAACCTGTGGCGCAGAGGCCCTCGTCAGCGAGAAGGCTGTCGCGCCGACGCGTCCGCTGCAGCCTCGCCCCTGCACTTCCCCGCTCGCGCTGCAGGACCCCCCAGGGCCAACAGCCGGGGCCTCCACCTCTGCAGCGCTGGATGTGTGCCAGAGAGTTGGTTGCGCAGGCGGCCAGGCAAAGCACCAGCCTGAGCTGAAGTCGGGCATGTCCCTTCACAGAAGGAATTCTTGAGAATAGTGAATACTCTGGTGGCGATGTGTCATGCTCTTTTGACAATTCTTCTTCTTTTGAAATATAAAAATATGTTTAGGGTTTCGTCCAAAATCCGCATGCAGGGGGATATGCCCGACCTAGACCTAAGCGTCATGAGCCGTCCCAGAGGCTAAAAGGGGGCCACGCAGGCTGGCGGGGAGCCATCGGTGGCATTGTCGCACGCAGCTCCTGCATTTCCGGTCCGACGCCTGGGGGCAGCACGAGCGGGGGCGCTCAGAATGCTGCTGGGCGACCCGTAGTGGTGCCTGATATGCCTAGCCCGCGCCGGTGAGGACGGCGACCCACCGAGTGTCTGCACGCCACGCAAGGGAGGGCCCGGTGCGCTCATCCACATTTGCTCGTGCTGACCTGCCTGGGCCACTATAGAACGATTCTCGCCCACCGGCACCGGCACCGGCACCGGCACCGGCACCGGCACGCCCAGAGCGGGCACCAGCGCCGTCGCCGGCGCCAGCACCGGCACTGGCACCCGCACCCGCAACCGCACTGGCACCAGCCCTGGCACCGGCACCGGCACCGGCACCCGCGCCGGCGCCAGCACTGGCACCGGATGAAAAACATCATTGACATTGAACATTATGACATTTCCCAAACAGTGCTTGCACTTAGGGGGCCTTCTCTCTTCTTTCCTAGTATTAGCTGGGTCGTTTGAGGGGCGGTCTGGCGGCTCTCTCCTCCTCGCCGTTGCCGCCCTGTCGCCGCCCGTCGTCGTCTGGGCTTGAGGGGCGGTCTGGTTTTTCCGTCCTTGCCGTCGCCCCCCCTTGCTGCGTCGTCGCCGCCCGTCGTCTTGGCCTGAGGGTCGGTCTGGCTGTTCCTTGCTCGTTGCCGTCACCGTCCCGTCGCCGCCTCCTCGTCGCTGCCCTGTGCGCCCCCCCAGCGGTTGCAATCCAATCGGTTGCAAGCCAATCAAGTGCAAACCCAGCGGAATCGATTGCAGTCCAATCAATGGTAAAATTATGCAAACGCAGTTCCCCACATAAAAAAATAACAGTTTCGTGGGACCCATGGGGTACGACAACATCAACACGAAGGAGAAGCTCATCGAACGAGTAAGTACGCACGAAAGGGCAGACGAAAGAAAGGAGGAGGGAGGACAGGTGCTCAGGAAACGAAGCCTTGTAAATAGTACGGGTTGTTGATACCCTCTTCGCTCTGGCGGGGCCCCGCTGGAAGGGGGGAGGCCTACGAAACATGGTAAAGAGTAATGCTGTCCGCGACCCTCCTCGTTCAAGCGAGTCCTCCTCCTCCTCCTCCTCCTCCTCCTCGTCGTCCTGCTCCTCCTCGTCCTCCTCATCCTCGGCATCATCATCATCATCATCATCATCATCATCACCAGCATCATCGTCGTCATCATCAGCATCATCAGCAGCATCGTCGTCACCCCGTCGTCGTCGTCATCATCCGCATCATCGTCATCATCATCAGTATCAACATCATCAACATCATCATCCTCATCGTCAGCATCATCGGCATCATCATAACCATCATCATCATCCTCATCATCATCAGCATCATCATCATCGCCAGCGTCATCGTCATCATCATCGTCGTCGTCGCCACCATCGTCATCAGCATCATCATCATCAGCATCAGCATCAGCATCGTCATCATCATCATCATCACCATTATCGTCCTTGGCATCATCATCGTCCGCATCATCGTGGACGTCATGATCATCATCATCGTCGTCATCATCATCAACAGCACCAGCAACGCCAGCATCAGCAGCAGCATCGTCATTATCACCAGCATCTGCATCATCATCCTCGTCGTCGCCATCGTTGTCATCATCGTCATCGTCATCATTATCATCGTCATCATCATCAGCATCATCATCATAATCACCGTTATCGCCATCGTCATCGTCCATCACCATTATCGCCATCGTCATCGTCATCGTGAACAGCAGTATAACCATCGTCATCACCATCATCATGATGAAACCTTCCTCATCGCAGAACTCCCCCTCCTCCTCACCCTCCTCAGTGGGAGGAGTAGGACGTGAGATGGATAGGTAATGTTCTCCCCTCCTCCTCACCCATGTCAGTGGGAGGGGCACGAAACCATTTAAATAGTATGGGTTTCCGATACCCTCCTCGCTCAGACGGGGCCTCCCTGGAGAGGTGGTAGGGGCACGAAACCATGTAAATAGCATGGGTTTCCGATACCCTCCTCGCTCAGGCGGGGCCTCCCTGGAGGGGTGGGAGGGGCACGAAACCATGTAAATAGCATGGGTTTCCGATACCCTCCTCGCTCAGGCGGGGCGTCCTTGGAGAGGTGGGAAGGGCACGAAACCATGTAAATAGCATGGGTTTCCGATACCCTCCTCGCTCAGGCGGATGGAAAGGGCACGAAACCATGTAACTAGTATGGGTTTCCGATACCCTCCTCGCTCAGGCGGGGCCTGCCTGGAGGGGTGGGAGGAGCACGAAACCATTAATCTGTATTAATTTCCGATGCCCTCCTCGCTCAGGCAGGGCCTCCATGGAGAGGTGGGAAGGGCACAAAACCATGTAAATAGTACGGGTTCCCGATTCCCTCGCTCAGGCGGGGCCTCCCTGGAGGGGAGGGAGGGGCACGAAACCATGTAAATAGTATAGGTTTCCGATATTGACCTCGCTCAGTCAGGCGGGGCCTCCCTGCTGGAGGGGTGGGATACCCTCCTCGCTCAGGCGGGGCCTCCCTGGAGAGGTGGGAAGGGCACGAAACCATGCAAGTGGTCTAAATAGTATGGGTTTCCGTTACCCTCCTCGCTCAGGCGGGGCTTCCCTGGAGGGGCGGGAGTGGCAATGCTGGGAGGCGGGAGGCGGGAGGGAGAAGGAGAGGATGTTCTGGGAAAACAAGAACCCGCACCAGCACCGGCCACCGGCACCAGCACCGGCACCGGCACCGGCACCGGCACTGGCACCAGCACCGGCTACGGGCCACCGGCACCGGCCACCAGCACCGGCACCCGCACCCGCACCCGCACCGGCACCGGCACCCGCACCCGCACCGGCACCGGCACCGGCACCGGCACCCGCACCCGCACCCGCACCCGCACCCGCACCCGCACCCGCACCGGCACCGGCACCGGCACCCGCACCCGCACCGGCACCGGCACCGGCACCGGCACCGGCACCGGCACCCGCACCCGCACCCGCACCAGCACCGGCACCGGCACCGGCACCGGCACCGGCACCGGCACCGGCACCGGCACCGGCACCGGCACCGGCACCGGCACCGGCACCGGCACCGGCACCGGCACCGGCACCGGCACCGGGGCAAGAATCGTTCATGCCTTGCCTGGGCCGCCGGAAGGCGAGAGCTCATGCCGCCCGCGACCAGCGCGGCGGCAGGCCACACGAAGTCGCAGGTAACGTTCCTTCCTGAGATCGTTGCCGGAGGCGCGCTTCCAGGCGCCGAAGCCCTTCGCCCCGCTGGAAGAGGCGCGGTGGGCGGCCTGTGGCTCCGGGATCGACCATTGGCAGGTCCGCGCGGACTGCTCGAGGGCAATGGCGACTTCCCCCGCATGCGGTCGGCAGGCTGGTCCGTCCTGGTCGCGGGCGCCAGCGCGCAGCCGATCCGCGTCCCACGTGGGAAGGGCTCCCCGCGCCCCACGCATGTTGCGAGCGACAGGGAAGGCAACAGTGCCACCACGGCGGCGAGGCAATTCGGCGGCTCGCACACCCTGAGCAAGGACTGCCAGGCCAGGCGACCGTCAACAGCATCCGCCATCTTTGCAGGGCCTCGGGCAACGACAGCATGCATGTCAACAGGGTGCAGGCGAATTGCACAGAGAGCGACGTGCGGAATGGCAAACTCACATTTGGCCGAAGGTACCAACTGGGCAGGCCACCGCGCAAAGAAGGGTGCCGCGGAGGACATGCAGGATGCGGGCCGCCTGCTCTGCGGCCGCGGGTGCCGCCACATCGCGCGGGAGCCTGCATGTCTTCCTCGGGGGCACGCAGGCCCACATAGGGAAGCGCGGTGTGCGAGACCACCATGGCCTGGAGGCCACCTGGGGCGCCTCTTGGCCCGTCTTGGGGCCCTCTTGGGGGCCTGTTGGGCCGTCTTGTTGCGATCTGGGGTGTCTCTTGGGCCGTCTTGAACGCCGTGAGGCCGAAAAGTCCTTTATACTAGAAATGCAAGGGTTCCTGAGGACATTTAACGGTGTTTGTCCTTCGGGAGGCCTCTTGGGCATCTCTTGGGGTGTTTGGGGCGCGATTACGGCCGACTGGAGGCCATCTTGGGCGTCTCGGACCGATCGTCCGGCGATTCTGAGCCCTTTTGGACCGTTTTGGGGATTCTTGTCTTGGGGCGCTCTTGGCCCGTTTGGGGGCCTTCTTGGACCCGAAAGAGTCACGCGACAAGACGCCAGGGGCCACAAGAGATTTGAGAGCTAGAGGTCCGGTCCCCTTTAAAGAACCCTTTGGATTTAGGACTAATGCTCGGGGGATTGAGCAAGGGACCTGAGGACGTTCCAAGTCGTGCCCGAGGGAACGGTGGCGGGCATTGCTGACAGAACAGACACGCGTAGATTTACAATTACATACATGTATCTCTATGCGTGTGTATATATATATACACAGTATAGAGAGGCAGACAGAAAGACAGACAGAGAGATGCGCCCAGGTCGCAGGCGGATTGAGAGCGACGCCACTGCTTCGCCCAGGCATTCTCCATTCGACCTTTCCCAGCCCTCCAGAGCACCCTCATCCTGCCCCGGGTCGTCGGCACGATCATCATGCCTCACACCCCCTACTCCCCGCCGCCTCGCCTCCTCTGCCCCCCACCCCTTCTCGAGGCGGACGGGCGGGAGCAGAACCAGCCGAGCGCCGAGGAGACGGGATGTGGAGAAGCAGGGCCAGGAGGTGGGGGAGGAGGGGGAGGGGGAGGAGGAGGACCACGACGACGACGACGACGACGACGACGACGACGACGACGACGACGGCAACGGCGACGACAACGACGACGACGACGACGGCAACGGTGACGGCGACGGCGGCGGAGGCGACGACGAGGTGGTTTGGTGGCAGCGCTGGGCGGCGGCGGCTTTGCTCCCAGGCGAGGAGCCGCCGCTCGCCGCCCCGGGCGGCGGGCCGCCGCCCGGCCCCGACGAGGACGGCCTGGACGCGCAGGCGTCCGGCAGGAGGGGAACAAAGCACACAGACACAATGAATCGTCGATCCCCAGGAAAAGATTAGAAAATATGGGAAGTGTGTGTGTGGGGGGGGGGGGGGGGGCAAAAACCCAGAAAAGATTTTGGACAATTCAGGGGATCCTGTTATTTATGTGTGTTTATTTGTGTGTCCCAGGGCCCCTTCAGCCCAGCAGAGCGAGGGCGGCCACCGTGCCAGACCCCGGACCCCCTCGAGTCGTGCAGGGCTCGTTTCGGTTCCTGCGACCCGATTCGGTTCGACGTCGGTCGATTCTGGTTACGATTCGATGCGGCTTCGGCGGCAGATGTCCGCCTGCTGCAGGTACGAGGAGAAGGTAGGTTTGGGTGGGCAGAACCCCCAACAGTGACACGTCGATTAGTGAATTGTCCGTTTTCGGCTCTCGAGATGGCGCCGTGGCCGTTATTTTCCAGGCTTGCGCCCGCCAGGTTTGGGCCTCAGGTCGTTTTCACTAAACCACGTCTTACTAAAGGGGGGTCTGTCCATCCCCGAGTAGGGTTTGGGCACCTTCTGTCCTCTGTTGGCATCAGAGGGCGGCTCTAGGCTTCCCAGATGGGGTCGGAGCAGGTGGGGTCGGAGGATCGCGCCGTATCGGCGATGCGTCGGCGATGCGGCTCGATGTGGAGCCCGATTGTCTCCACGCTGATGGCGCCGATGCCTCGCCGACGTCGCCGATGCATCGCGGCGCGGTCCTCCGACCCCATGTGCTCGGA